TAGCATTGCAGTTGTAATTACATTAAGCGTTAGTCGCATAACATGAAGTTCCATTAGCGTAATTGTAGCGACGAGTGACAAATATCTAAACACCACATCTGCTCAGTAAATATTGCAGTATTTGTGCAAATGATCATCGTTGCTAGTGAATCCCGTATAATGTTGTATCTACTAATCATTTTAATGTAAGTGCTAACAGATCTGTTTAAACAGAAATACTGTTATGCTATTGTGCAATTCAACCTACTCTTCTCTGTGAAAAGAGCGTACTTATTCCTTTTTAAAAGGCCAGCAACTCAATTGTGACGGGTGTCCATGGGCGGCGCTGATCGCTTACCATCAGGTGACCCGCAGGCTCGTTTGCGTCCTATTAAAAAAAAATTATTCTTTATTAGCTTTTCAACTCTTTCTATTATAATATTGTTATAACTTAAATGTGTTTATTAACAAAATTATGGTAAACCTACAAACGATTAGCAGTGTCTGAAAAATTGTGAACTCTATTTCTTTTTATCGACAGGTACCATATATTGTATCTTATACAGTAAGTATAAATATGTATATAACTGCGAAAAAATCTGTCATTATTGACTAGAGAAAAAATCTTGCAATTATCGACTAGAGAAAACTTTAATCTCAACGTATTTCGAAACGACAAAACACAATTACGAACAGCACCCTCAGAATACATACAACTTGATTAAAATTAAGTCTTTGTTGCATAATATTAAACGGCACGCCAGCGGCACCAATTCTAAATAGAACCGGGTTCTAGAAATTTCCATCTTGAATACTGCAGCTAAGTATTTTGTCGAAGCAAAAACCACTAACTGTGAGGTTTTCACCCTTTAAACCCGAACACCTTTGGTAGTACCTACAGCCAAGCTATTCAATAAACACGTAATAAAATAAATAAAGATTGATTCAATAGGTATAGTGACAGTAACCATGGTTAATCATGGTTAATGTAATCATTATTACAAAAAACATGGGTTAAGCCGAAAAACAAGCAGACGGATCACCTAATGATAAGCAATCGGCGTCGCCCATGAACACCTGAAGCAGCAGATGCGTTACAAGTGCGTTGCCGGCATTTTGGGATTATGAATTTGAGGATTGTGGGGGATTCGGGGATTGGGGAAGAGGGGGAGGGAATTGGGCCTCCGATAACCTTACTCACACGACGAAACACGACGCAAGTGTTGTTTCACGTCGGTTTTCTGTGAGGCCGTGGTATCACTCCGGTCGAGCCGGCCCATTCGAGCCCAAGCACGGCTCTCTCACACTTATTGATATGTCTTTGTTGCGTCAGGCATACAATCTAGTATAACAATAGTTACTATCTTGGTATTAATAATTATATTTTTTAACTGTAACTAAGTGGGTGGCCCCGGAACTGCTTACAAAGTTCATATTTTCTAACCAAATCCATACCGAAAATGACGTGTTATTATGCAGATTTTTTGTCGTAACGAATAATAATGGAAACAGTATCAACCTGGTACTTATGCACGAAATGTAAATTATGATTCCCAACAAGACTTCGTCACGTTTTCATCAATTATTCAGAAAGAAAGTTGTGTATGTAAGCTTTTTATGATACAGGACGTATTTTGTATGTCACGTCTGGCTACGTGAAAATATTGTGTGCCTACTGAGATAACATTTCATAAAAATGCTGTGCCTAATAAAAGGGGAGATGAACAGTGATTTTTAATATTAGGTTATTAGGTTTCTCCGGAGGTGCGGACGACCTAACGGGTTACCAGGGCTCCAGATAGCTAAACGCAGCCTGACACTCCCTTTCACCTCACCCAAGGCATTGGATGATTTTCTTTCGTCACACTAACACGAACACTCGACAGTTACTTTAATACATAACCATTGTTTTCTCTAAGATACTAAGCTACGCATACAGGTCTTGGGTTTTTTTAAGGGGGGAAAATCATCTAATGAGTTATTCCGCCTGGGTGAGGCGGAAGAGAGTGACAGGCTCTTACTGACTAAAAACCACCCCATTGCTTCTCCTGCCCTTCGAGCCGTAACCCCGGCAACCCGTTAAGTCCTCTGTGGCAACAGATTATAGGTTGGTCGCCTTATTGGTTAAAAATAATCAAAGAAAATTTAACCCTGCTTACATTTACAGAACGACAAAAAGTTGACGCAAGTGAAACACCAAACGCCATACTTTACTATGAGTATACATAAAACAAAGACCCATTTTTTAATAGAAGGTAGGTACGTACATAATGTGTGTAATTACTTTCCCGAGTCTGCGACACAAGCCGTTTGTTGTGAGCCATATAATTACTTAAATTACTTACCGACTATTGTGTGAATTACGCGATGGCAATTACACATTTCATTCAGGTGTGTAAGAATTGAAATACGTTTAATACGAGCTCAGTGATTAAGATGTCGGCTTTTAGTGGCTTTTGTTAATTTGTCCTTGTTCGACATTTCTGTTGGTATTGTACTGTCATTACAGCTATTTACTATGCAGGTAAGAAAATGAAGATTGAGTCAGTACAGAGACAGTAGCTATACCTCTATTATACTAAATTAGGTATACTCATACTCTGTATACCTGTGGTGGTGGCCCGTAAGTTTAAGACGCGCTTTTTATGCATGACCAACAGCAAGTATCAGAGTGACCTTTTCCGAGTTACACGTACTTTCTAAGATTATCTCGACACCACTGACAAACGGTAAAGGAAAACATCGTGAGAAAACCTAGGCTTATAATTTCCAATTATAAGTTTGTAGTCGCCAACCCGCATTGAGCAAGCATGATGAAATTGAGCCAAGTGATTCAAGTGATTTGTAAACTAACAAACTGTGTCTTCTTTCAGCAAGTATTAAATTCCAAGTCCTCATTATTTGTGTCCGATAAATATTTTTTAAACAAAAAATCTCATTTAAGAAATTTATGAAGCATCGGATCAAGTTGTATTTCTGTTAAATGATAACGTTGATCTAAATCAAAGAGAATCTGACCCTTGAGGGAATAACCACTGAAAGGAAAAATACGGTGACCGGCAAGTCAACCTATCCTTTTGTACCTATCAATCTATTACATCTTCAACTTAATTCTATTGACATAAAGACGAAAATCCAACGAATAAAGACTGATTGTAGACGGTTGATCTGCTGGCCACTGTACATGAGAATTTGCCTATCTATAAAATATTATCTCTTGTTTACATTGAACTATAATCTTTGATTTATAAAGGCATGTTGAACAATTTTAATCACGAAATTAATTAATAAGTGTAGATAAGATTGTCTCCATTATGGAGTGATCAGAAGGACGACCGTCCAGCTAGTGGTATTAGGTTCATTATGGACAAATATTTTGTTTTTGTTCACATTGCGTTTATGGTTATAAACAGCGTTACATAGAAAGTGAATAGATAAATTCTAAGTTACTTCTAGTACCTTTTTTTAAAGGGGGAAAATCATCCTATGACTACTCCCGCCTGGGTGAGGCGGGAGGGAGTGTCAGACTCTTACTGACTAAAAACCACCCCGTTCCTTCTCCTGCACGTCGAGCCGGAGCACCGGTTACCCGTTAGGTTCTCCGCGACTACTTCTAGTACCTACATGTTCATTTATTATTTTTGATGCTTTGTGACAAACATAGTACCTATATAGTTGTACATTGTACCTAGAAAAAAACATTACCAACTAGTACATTGTTAGGTACGTGTCAATTCATCTAAATTCTTAATAGGTAAGTAACTAGAAATAAAAATCACAATGCTATCTCGAAGTCATTGTTATCAACAATATTTGCAAGTTTATGCTATTCTTGTGCGAGGGTCCTGTCCGTTTAACCCTCATGAATAATTCAAAGAGACACAGACCAAGATCTCAACTCGATACCGCTAGAACATGACCGGTCGCGTAAAAATCCGCAAATGTATGAAATGGTATTGAGGTCATTATACTAATACAAAGGATTTTTTTTTAAGGGGGGAAAATCACCGAATGACTGCTCCCGCCTGGGTGAGGCGGAAGGAAGTGTCAGACTATTACTGACTAAAAACCACCCCGTTCCTTCTCCTGCACGTCGAGCCGGAGCCCCGGTTACCCGTTAGGTTCTCCGTGACTCCGAATCGGCAACAGCCCTATTGGGCCCCATCTGTGGTGGTCTGATGGCTCTTTGAGGCGCGCGCGGAACGCGACGCGTCAAACGCTCGGGTAATACAAAGGATAGCGTAATGTATTGGGACCTACTGAACATAAAAAATCTAAATGATATGTAAAAATTTTTCAAATAACCACGGTGAAATAAAACGCAAACGTTGTTCTACGTACGTTTTCTATGAGATCCTAGTATCACTCCGGTCGAGTCAACCTATTTGTGTCCAAAAATATTGTACAGAACGATTTTCTAGAAGATCGTTTCCACACATCACAATGTGATAAAAGACTGTGCTAAAAATAAAACAAAGCTTCGGATTCCGAGTGCCTCCATCTCGATGCCACTTGAGTTGGTGTGACTGAAGATGACTCTCAAGGACAGCCCGTCCTTCGTAACCTCTCCACAAACAAAAGTATCAAGATTTCGTTTGACAGTGTCGTGTGACGGTAGGTACCTACAAAGTTTTATGCCCGCATTAACGAACTTATAAGAACCTAAAGTCCACTGACATCAAATTATATTAACAACTTTAAAAATTGTGTTAAATGATTGAAACTTAGGTACTCATTAAAAACCACCTCGTCCTTCCATTCGCGGAACCTGCAAGGTTGTCGGTAGCCCCAGTATCCTGTAGGTACCTAGGTATACCACCTAGGCTATTGGTGCTGATAATGTCTGTTCCCCGCTGTTGTAATAGAATATACACTCTCTAACGCAAACGATTCTATCTACCTAATGATGTAATTGAAACAACAGTAATTGCAATAAGTAGCACAAGCAGACTACGGACTACCACATAGTTTTGTCGCAAGAATTACCATCACCACATACACAAGACATTAAAAACAAGAAATGAGAAAACAGCTATTTATTTTTCTGAAGTATGGTTATACAGTAGTTATTACAATATCGAGTGATATTTGAATACCAATACCTAATATCCAATATTCTACAAAACTGGAAGCTAGTAAACATAACACGCTGTACCTAGTAATTAGGCAGCTCCGAATTGCTCCACACTCCTGGCGACACGTGACAGCGTCTCCTGGCTATCAAGAGCTCCGAATTGCTCCACACTCCTGGCGACACGTGACTGTACTTCCTGGCTATCGAGGTGCTCTTTACTGGCAGCTCCAAATTGCTCTACACTCCTGGCGACACGTGACAGCGTCTCCTGGCTATCGAGAGCTCCGAATTGCTCCACACTCCTTGCGACACGTGACAGCGTCTCCTGGCTATCAAGAGCTCCGAATTGCTCCACACTCCTTGCGACTCGTGACAGTGCTTCCTGGCTATCGAGAGCTCCGAATTGCTCCACACTCCTTGCGACACGTGACAGTGCTTCCTGGCTATCCACGTGTTCCTTACTGGCAGCTCCAAATTGTTCCACACTCCTGGCGACACGTGACAGCGTCTCCTGGCTATCGAGAGTTCCGAATTGCTCCACACTCCTGGCGACACGTGACAGTGCTTCCTGGCTATCGAGGTGCTCCTTACTGGCAGCTCCAAATTGCTCCACACTCCTGGCAACACGTGATAGCGTCTCCTGGCTATCGAGAGTTCCGAATTGCTCCACACTCCTGGCGACACGTGACAGCGTCTCTTGGCTATCAAGAGCTCCGAATTGCTCCACACTCCTTGCGACTCGTGACAGTGCTTCCTGGCTATCGAGGTGTTCCTTACTGGCAGCTCCAAATTGCTCAACACTCCTGGCGACGCGTGGCAGCGTCTCCTGGCTATCGAGAGCTCCGAATTGCTCAACACTCCTGGCGACACGTGACTGTAATTCCTGGCTATCGAGGTGCTCTTTACTGGCAGCTCCGAATTGCTCGACACTCCTGGCGACACGTGACAGTATTTCCTGGCTATCTACGTGTTCCTTACTGGCAGCTCCGAATTGTTCCACACTCCTGGCGTTACGTGACAGTATTTCCTGGCTATCGAGGTGTTCCTTACTGGCAGCTCCGAATTGTTCCACACTCCTGGCGACACGTGACAGTGTCTCCTGGCTATCGAGAGCTCCGAATTGCTCCACACTCCTGGCGACACGTGATTGTGGCTCTTGCCTGTCTAACAGGAACTGTGGATGGTTGAAAGTATCTCTTACATTGCGCCGATTGTATCCGGGATGGGTTGGTTTTGGATCTTTGTAGGGTTTATGGCCAATGATGCCTCCTCTTGCACCACTGGAAGTGCGTGGGCTGCTTGTCTCTCGATGATAAGGAAATTCGTAAGTTGGATGACATATTGTTTCCGCGAATAACGCAGATATAACTGCAAATACAATTGCCCGTTTTAACATTGTAAATAACGTATCTCACAGTTTCCCAGACTAAAATACAGTACGTGCATTTCCTCTGCTGAGTATTTATACTGCGAATCGGGGATTTTATGTTAAAACTTTGTTGAATGGAGAAAGGGAAGTACCTACCTAATGGAGGTACCAAGTCGTAAATATTATTATCTTTTGACCTGACCCTTTAACTCTTGTCTGTGAATTGATAGCGTTTAATTATTAACAACATCTTTGTGCATTTAGATACTTATAGAAGTTCATAAATTACGATTAGGTACGAGTAAAACCAAAATGTTCTTGCTTAAAGCATATTTTTTTACCTACAATTTCAATAGTAGGTAATTCATCCCATTCTCCATGCTTCGAAAAGGATAACCAGAACACTTACATCTCACACACAACACTCACTGAAAAATAACTTCTGAAACTGAAAATAATTTCTTCAATTCCTATTTATGTTTTGTGCATGGCTCAATTTATTCATATCCAAATATGGGAAATTAAGAATTTACGAAAGTAATATGTCATTTGGTGAGATTGTCAAATTAACTGTCAAAAAAAAATTGATTTGTTGTGTTGATTTCAGATTAGAGGCTGGAAATTGTGAGATACAAATAAAAAATGTGTTAAACTGAACACAAATGTAACAGTCGTATTCTTTATATTGTTGTGGAATTATTAATTAAAATGATGGGTGACCAGGCGAGCCCTTTGGGTAAGTTTCGGCTTGTTATATTTTATTAGTACATATATAATATTTGGGTGTGGGTATAAAAAAAAAAAATACGAATTTTACAGAAGAAAATGAAATGCTTAAAGCATTGTATGACTTCGAGGCAACATTGGCCAAAACTCTTAGTTTTACGGAAGGCGAGTTTTTCTTCCTTCAACAAAGTAATGCGAAGCAGAGGAACTGGTGGCATGTTGTTAATAGAAAAGGTCAAGTTGGTTTCGTGCCCTCGAATTACGTCGCTGGAGTCAAGGTAATAGGCTAAACTCATTACGACAATTATCACCACACATACCTCTGGCATTAAACTCAGTGTTTGGTTGAAATCTGTCATAGGTGGAGCCAGAATTCTATTTGGCATTCCTCAACGATTGTATGAAGAATATCAATGAGAGTGGTACAATGGCGCAGAAGCAAGAATTACTAGCTAAACTAAATGAGAAGAAGAAACAAATTCAGATAAGTATAAAGCCGCATGGGAAGAAGGCGCCAGCCCCTAAACCTCCACCACGGCTGGATGACTGCACTCCACCTAATGGTGTGTCACCATGTTTTGACTTGAGACCTGTAGTGTCTCAGCAGCACATCAGTGAAGACAGAGAATCCTCTCCATCACCAACCAAGCCTAATAATAATGTGTCTCAAGGTAAACTAATAATAACATAATAATGTTCATGATTCAATCATAATTTATATTCATTTTCCTTGTTATCAATAATTTGAATTATAGTTCAAAAGACTTTCGTTATTAAGATAGATGTCTAATTTTTTTTAATGTCCATCTGGTAGATTATTCAAAAACATTAGACACATATTTTTATGTTCTTATGAAAATACTGTCGACGGTGTATTGATTTGAAATATTGCACAACATTACTTTTATACTCAATAATGATGTTCCTAAACTTTAATTTGTTTTCTTATATATTGAACTAAAAAAATATGTGCCTATTTTTTTTTCACAGGCTAATTAGATTTATAAATTATTTATATAGTTATTAAATGTAAATGTAATCCTTATTATATTGATTTATTAGCTTTGTTTGTGTTATCTTGTAATATTACAGGAATTTCTATTCATAACAATACATTATATTTCTTCATTATTACAGAGGATGAAGAGGTCCGTAAAAAACCAGCGGTGGGTAAGACATCCTCCAACCAAGTATCTTCAGACACAGACAACCAGGATGACAGCCAGGATAGCAGCGAGAGCATAAAACCTAATGCCATCTATGAAATAGTACAGGCTGTGCGAAAAGAGACACAACTTAGCCATGATATGTCCAAAGTGGCAGTGGAAACAGTGCTCATATCTCTGAGAGTAAGCTATTTTTAATTTTGGTTTTTGAATGTAATAACTACATACCCTTTGAAAAATGGATGGGATGTCACTTTTCCTGATTAGTCATAAATTAAAAGGATAGGCTTGCTTTTATAATAAGTATCTAGTAAGACATACTAAATTGTGTTATGTTATTTATGTATGTCTACGTGAGTAACCCACGATTTTTTAGTTAGGATAGACTTGCTATTTAAATATGCAGGTACTTATTAACTAGATTATGTTATTTGAGTAGAAACCTAGGATTAGGTTTATGTTGAAGTATTAGTTACTACAATATGACTTATGTATTGCAACACTTGCTTGAGCCTGTTTTTAGTAGCGAAATAATAGATTGGTGGTCATAACCATCATTGGCCCAAGTTATGACCTCCAAGCTATTATTTTTAGAATATAAAATAACTGATGCAAATTCTATAATTTCTTGTATGTTCCTGGGAATAACTATCTGGTTAGTAAAATTATGTAAAATAACTTATTTCCAGGAGTTCCTACCAGGTGGAGCAGCACGGTCAATCATTGATGCTTTGCTCCGAGAAGCAAACAGTAACATCACATGTCCGAAGAATGCTATTGATGCAGCCCCTGATGCTTTACGGATGATGACGGCTCTAAATGCGCTGTCGAAGGCTGCCAATGATGCCCAACAAAGAGGCTGGGCCCTACATGATGATGCACATGACATACAGACACAGTTGTTAGAACTTATTTCTGTTATGGTAAGTTATCAGTATAATATTAATTACAAGTCAGGAGAATATTAAGTAAAACACCATTTAAAGAATCTTTTAGACTTTAGTTTCTATTCCACAGAAATTTAAAACCACTGGGGACTCTGTAGTGGATTAATATTTCTGGATTTTATCATCTCATCTTGGTATTGGTATTAAAATAAATACAATTGTCTTTGTCTGTATTGTTACGTCGTTAGTTTTATTGGTATGATTAGTATACTTGAAGATAGGCCTTTTTCCTTTGACCATGCTTGCAAAGCTGTAGGTAGGCAGCTAGTAATTCTAAAATCTAAATTCTTACTAAGATGTTTTATTTAACAGTCAAACGCCGACGTGAACATCTCTCAACATGTACTGAGCAGCCACAAGTACGCATACGTAACGACCTTAGTGCAGTACTACCAAATGGAAACCAGGTGGCCGCTACGACAGCTTCTGCTTCAGGTAGGTGTAATATAGCTAATGATGAGCGCTTACATGTTTAGTAGGGAGTCAATATCAAAAGCCAAGTTACAGTTCACTACAAAAGTGAGATTATAGAACACGTAGTATGGACCTCTCTTCTACATAAGCTTATGTAGAAGAGAGGTCCATACTTTTTGAAATGAGGATGTTTGTCATAATTTGACAAAATGTGGTTCAATGACACTAAGAAATATTAGGTATCTACTGATTCGTCTCTATAAAGGTCGACAAAGTAGAATACAATAATTTATTTGCATTGAATGTCTGTAACATAATATTATTATAATATATGGTCTTACAAAAATACTTATAATTATCGTTCCTGGTACATTCTACTGTTTGTCATGCAAACATTTTTATCCTTAAAGCTATATACATATTGACTATAATAGTTTTACTTTGCCCGACCCGGGAATCGAACTCGAGACCCCTTGCCCGGCAGTCGCACTTGCGACCACTCGGCCAACGAGGCAGTCAGT